TACCGTGTGATTAAAGCAGTGTAATTACACTTGAAGTTGTCAGCGTGAAAAAAAATGTAAGATATATTAATATGCCTGATAGTAATCATGCTAACTTTTCTGAAAATATTTATTTATAAAGTACATAAATTATAAGATGGTGTCATCAGTTTCTCCAGAATATTGTCACTTTTCATAATTTATTTGGTACCTGATGTATGCAATATCGTTATTTCGTTTTCTCGCGGTTGTTGGGCGACAACGTAAATGAGCATTAATTTTTTTCTGGTTATTTCATGTAAGCGGTATTTAACCGCAACAACGCGAAATGAAAAATAAATTAGAGCGCGGATAATTTTCCTATAAACATTATTTTAAACATTATTTTACAATTACTGACTACTGTGCCATTGAATATGATGCGATATTCATCGGCAGATGACAAATTGAACGAGGTGATAGCCGATGTCAATTTGCCTTTCTGCCGGTGAATATCACGTCATATTCAATGGCTCACTAGTCAATAATTGTTTTATTATACCAATAGGCATATAATAAAAAAAAATACAAAAACTTTTTTTCTGATTCGTTGAAGCGCGGGAAAAAAGACGCAGAGTCAGGTGTGCAACGCTGCGCATACAAAAGTAATTCAAGTTTATACTCATCATTGCGGTATAGCCTTTAAGTATTATAGTTAAGTAATGCTATTTTAATCGAGAAACATGCCATAAAGAACAAAAGGCAACAATTATTTTTTAAGGCTTAATGAACAGTCTACGATGTATGGTCATTGAATATGCGTCTCAATCTATTTTTAGACAGGGAAAATCAAATGCAGCCAGTGAATATGATACTAAACCCAGTGAATATAATTTTATAAAAAGGTCTGCTGAGTACTGTTTGAACCAATGATATTGAAGACATTTGCAGCTATATTCAGATCATATAATAATTCGTTTTGGCGTATTGTCGTGTTATATTTGGCGCTTTATTGTACTATCACCCATGCATCCCACAGATGCGACAACGCGACACAATGAGAAAAAGGTTCTTTTCGTTTCGTTGCGGAAATCAGCCCACGATAAATTTAAGGCATTTTGCTTACATATTTTCTGACTAAAAATCCGAAACCACGTAATTATGAGGTTTACATAATATGCTGTTCTTAAAATCGCTTTGATTTTTAGCTCACCAGAACCAAAGATTCAGGGTGGGCTATTAGTATCAAAGGGGGATTCTCCGTCGTCCGTCAGTGCGTCGTCCGTCGTCATGCGTTAACAATTGTCTTCTTCTCTGAGACTGCTGGGCAGATTTGCTTCAAATTTGTCTATAGCATCCTTGTGACAGTCACACTTAAATTTGCTCATGTCATTACAATTTGCCCCTTTTAGGGGTCAACAGAGATAAAAATAGTAAACTTTTAAACATTTTTTACTACAGAACAAATGGATGGACGATCACCAAACTTTGTCTGTAGCATTCTTAGAAAGTCTTTTATCAAGTTTGCTCATATTAATTTGATTGGCCCCTTGTAGGGGCCGCTAAAGCTAAAAATAGAAATAGCTTTAAACGTCTATTTCCACAGAACTAATGGATGGATGATCACCAAACTTTCTCTGTAGCATTCTTAGGTAGTCTTTCATCAAGTTTTGCTCATATTAATTTGATTGGCCCCTTTAAGGGGTCTCTAGGGCTAAAAATAGAGAAAAAAACTAAAGACAACTTCTTCTGCAGAACTAATGGATGGATTATCACCAAACTTTGTCTGTAGCATTTTTGGGTAATATTTTATAAAGTTTGCTCATTTTAATTTGATTGGCCCCTTTAACGGGCCGCTAAGGTTAAAAATATAAATACCTTTAAACGTCTGCTTCTACAGTACTTATTAATGGATAGTCACCAAACTTTGTCTGTAGCATTTTTGGGTAATATTTTATAAAGTTTGCTCATATTAATTTGATTGGCCCCTTTTACGGGCCGCTAAGGTTAAAAATATAAATACCTTTAAACGTCTGCTTCTACAGAACTTATTAATGGATAGTCACCAAACTTTGTCTGCAGCATTCTTAGGCAGTATTTTATCAAGATCAAGTGTGCTCTATAAATTATGCCCCCACTACAAAGAAGAGGGGGTATATTGCTTTGCATTTGTCTGTCTGTCGGTCCGTCGGTCCGTAGACAAAATGGTTTCCGAGTGATAACTAAAGAACCCTTAAGCCTAGGAACTTAAAACTTGGTATGGTGATTGGTCATGACCAGTAGATGACCCCAACTGATTTTGGGGTCAAAAGGTCAAAGGTCAAGGTCACATTGACCTTGTAAGTAAAAACGGTTTCCGATCAATAACTAAAGAACGCTTAGTCCGAGGAACATCAAACTTGGTATGGTGATTGGTCATGACCAGTAGATGACCCCTTTTGATTTTGGGGTCAATAGATTAAAGGTCAAGGTCACATTGACCTTGTAAGTAAAAACGGTTTCCGATCAATAACTAAAGAACGCTTAGGCCTAGGAACTTTAAACTTGGTATGGTGATTGGCCATGACCAGTAGATGACCCCTATTGATTTTGGGGTCAAGCGGTCAAAGGTCAAGGTCACATTGACCTTGTAGGTAAAAACGGTTACCGATCAATAACTAAAGAACGCTAAGGCCTAAGAACTTCAAACTTTGTATGGTGATTGGTCATGAACAGTAGATGACCCCTGTTGATTTTGGGGTCAAGGGGTGAAAGGTCAAGGTCACATTGATCTTGTAGGTAAAAACGGTTTCCGATCAATAACTAAAGAACGCTTAGGCCTAGGAACTTCAAACTTGGTATGGTGATTGGTCATGACCAGTAGATGACCCCTATAGATTTTGGGGTCAGGGGACGAAAGGTCAAGGTCACATTGATCTTGTAGTTAAAAACGGTTTCCAATCAATAACTTAAGAACGCTTAGGCCTTTGAACTTCAGACATGGTATGGTGATTGGTCAAGACCAGTAGATGACCCCTATTGATTTTGGGGTCAAGGTGCCAAAGGTCAAGGTCACATTGACCTTGTAGGTAAAAACGGTTTCCGATCAATAACTAAAGAACACTTAGACCTAGAAACTTCATACTTAAAATTATGATGATTGGTCATGACCAGTAGATGACCCCTGTTGATTTTGGGGTCAAGAGGTCAGTGTCAAATTGACCTTGTACTTTAAGATAGTTTCTGACCAATAACTCAATAAGTCAAGTTGCCTTGGTTGATATTTTTATGTTAAACTAAAAATGCTTTTGGTATACACATTTGAAGGTTTTATGTAATATAACAACTTGGCTGTTATTAATGAGGCCTACATGATTCATAAAATTTATGCATATTTTATTTGTTAAGTTTTGTAATAACTTAAATAGCTGCACACAACCTATGGGGTCACAATAATTATTACCTTGTGACTCGTCATGACCAGTAGATAACCCTTAATAATCTTTTGTTCACTGGGTCAGAAGTCATGCATAATAACCTGATCACATGACTAATTGGCTGCCCATAAGGGGCATACGTGTTTTACAAACATATCTTGTTTGATTGGTCCCTTTATATGGGTGCTAAAGCTAAAAACAGAAATACATTTAAACATCTCCTTTTAGTCTTTTATCAAGTTTGCTCATAATAATTTGATTAGCCACTTTTAGGTTCCGCTTAAGCTAAAAATAGAAAACAACACCTTTGAACATCATTTCCTACAGAAATAATTGATGGATGATCACCAAACTTTGTCTGTAGCATTCTTGGGTAGTCTTTTATTATGTTTGCTCATATTAATTTGATTGGCACCTTTTAGGGACCGCTTTAGCTAAATATAGAAAACCTTTAAACGTCTCCTTCTACAGAACTAATGTATAGATTATCACCAAATTTTGTTTGTAGCATTCTTAAGTAGTCTTTTATCAAGTTTGCTCAGATTTATTTGATTGGACCCTCTTAGGGGCTACGAAAGCTAAAAATAGAAAAACCTTTTAACATCATTTCCTACTGAAATAATTGGTAGATGATCACCAAACTTTGTCTGTAGCATTCTCAGGTAGTCTTTTATCAAGTTTGCTTATATTAATTTGATTGGCACCTTTTAGGGGCTGCTAAAGCTAAAAATAGAAATACCTCTTTAAACGTCTCCTTCTACAGAACTGATGGATGGATGATCACCAAACTTTGTTTGTAGCATTCTTAGGTAGTCTTTTATCAAGTTTTGCTCATATTAATTTGATTGGTTCCTTTTAGGGGCCACTAAAGCTAAAAATAGAAAAACCTTTTAACATCATTTCCTACTGAAATAATTGATGGATGATCACCAAACTTTGTCTTTAGCATTCTTACTAATCTAAGGTAGTCTTTTATCAAGTTTGTCATATTAATTTGATTGGCATCGTTTAAGCTAAAGCTTAAATGCCCCAAATCATGGCATTTCTTCAAATTATTGTTTAAAGATATTCTATACTTAAATTTACTATTAGAAAATATTGACAATGGATAATTTCTAACACTGAAAAGCAGTTGTTTCTGGTGAGCGACTCAGGGGTATCATGGCCCCTTGTTTTAAGTTACATTGGTCGTCTGCTTCATGAAAAGATAGAACAGAACCAAATACTTATTCTCTTGTACATGTACATCGAGCACAAATATTACATAATATTATACACAAAACACAAACCCTTTGGACATTTCGAGACCATTTTCTTAACTCCCAAGAGTTTTCAACCACAAATAAAGACTTGTACAATTATATTAAGAAATTTATTCTCTATAACTGCTAAGGCACATTATTAAAACACATTCCGTTACATGGCAACGGTAAAAATGTAAAGGTTAACCGCGACCGAGTATCTTTTATTATACCAGTGTCTGTTTAAATTACTTATATAGCTTTCAATGATGTATTATATATTTGGAGCAATTTTGCTATTTCAGTTGACTGAAGGATTTCCATTTTTGTTTACGTTTACTTCATTATCAACCGTTTAAGCAAAATTTATTTTTGTAATCAACAGGTAAAATGGTAGGAAAACTTTCAATTGCTGACAAAAAGCAACTAGAACGTTATATACAAGCGGGTCCAAAACAGTTTGGTTTGTTATACAGCTTTACTAGGGATGGTGCAGATGCATCCGTTTTCCATCGACTTTGCGACAATCAAGGCCCAACAGTAACTGTCATTTATAACACTCAAGGTACAGTGTACGGAGGGTACACCGAGCTAAGTTGGACTTCAAGTGGGAAATACTATAAAGATGATCATGCTTTTTTATTTCGTCTTTATCAAAATGGCAAAAATAATCCGATGAAATTTCCAGTGAAAAAGCCAGATAATGCCATTTACTGCGTTAACACCAATGGACCGATATTTGGAGCAGGGTATGACGTGAACACCTTTAATTCAACCCTTCCCATTCAAAACAATCAGTTCACTTTAAACGGAGGATTTAATTTTGGCAGTGCCTATGACATGGGTTCATGTTCTATAGAGCAGTTTTGTAACAACATCAAAACAGTCACAGACTTAGAGGTTTACAGCGTGTCTGGTAAATACCTTGTCAAACCATCCAGAGAATCTACTTAAAATAAACGTCTTTCTTTCGATTTATAAATACATGTATCGTTTTCAATAACGGCAATTTTAACCAAATGATTTATTAAAGTTTTGTATCTATATATAACATTATTTGAAGAAAACATGGCAGTAGAAGATATGCTTACGAATTATGTAAATAAGTATTATGTTACCTTTTTATATAAATATATATTATTAAGTTGATTGTCTATTTGATAAAAAAAAACTGATGTCGGATTTTAATTGGGCAGATACATCGTTATTACCACCCTGGAGAGAGATTGGAGGTTGGGAACATCAGGTAAGAAAAACTAAGTTGGTTTGCTCATGTATTTCTTTTAACATTCATATTCTTTCCTGAATTTCTTAGCAAACATTTGACGAGATATGCTTAAACTGTTTGACGTATTCAAATACAATAAATAAAAGTAACATTTGCCTGTGTTTGGTAAATAGTTGATGTAAATGTGTGCAATTAGTACTTCTTTATGTATTAATTAATTTATTTGTTTTTGATATATGCTTTAATGTATATTTTAGGATTTAGAAGTTTTGGAGAACGAAATTGATGCCTGGACACCACCACATGGAATTAAACTGAAAACTTCAAACATTCTCTTCCTTGGTCCGGTTGGTGCTGGGAAATCAAGTTTCTTTAATACAATTTCTTCAATATTTCGAGGTCATGTGACTGGACAGGCTGTTTGCGGTAGTGCAGAACAGAGTATCACATCGAAGGTAAACCGAAATTATTTTCAAAATATCTGAAAATTACAATGGTAAGAGCTTAGATATTTGACATGTATCATTGCCTTGAAAAACCCTAAATAGTTACAAAACCATTACCCTGGTGTACAATTTGCACTTATAGAGTAAACAAGGCTTAAAAGTCTTTTCACCCTTATAAAAGTAGAATTATCTCGTTTAATATACAAAATATAAACATTAATTGAATTGTCAGTGTAATTAACGAACAGGGAGGTAATAAAGAAGATTTGAAAAAGAATAGCATTTCGATTTTTGATCATTTTTGGTGGGTATTATTCTGTATTTTTGAAGTACTGGCAACTAATATTTTGTGTCGGTTTGTTGTGTGTTAATTTCTATCATTTAGAAAACAAGCATGGTAATTTTTAAAAGTCAGTAAATACATGTATACAATTTTTTCACCACCCGAAGCATATACACTGTACTTGTTCGACAAATGTATCACGTGACGTTCTGACAGAAAACAAATACAAAAGCCGGTCAAGATTTTATTTTCTGCCATAATAACCTTTTAAATACTTCATTAATTTTTCTATGGGATAAAGTGTACAGCCCGCTAATTCTAGTGAAGAATAGAAGAATGCATGCCATGCATAGAAAAGTGATTCCTTGGGCAAAAATCAGAATACCCCCCCCCCCCCCCAAAAAAAAAAAATAAATAAATAAAAAAAATGAACTTTTAAAATGTTATGGCAGAAAATAAACCCGGGACCGTCTTTTTTATTGGGGTTCGGCTCCACACATAATACTAAGAATTACGTGATATAGACTGCACTGTGTTTTATTATTATCTATATTTAGTCGTCTTGTTGGCAAAAACTTAGTAACTTTACATGTATCAATATAAAACTCAGCGAAGGTTACGTGGAATTGTCATGCACTTATGGTTATAAAATGCCTGCCCCGAGGGTCACTTACAATCATTATAAAAGTAATTAAAGGCACGTTATGCCTCAGAAACGAAACAATATTTATTTCCTAAAAAAAGGAAAATATGAAATTTATAAGGTTTGAATAATCGTTTCATAGGATGTAAGATGCTTTTCCCCTGAAGTAGGTAGCGCTTAATTTGAATTTATTTGTCATAAAAGTAGCGAAATGTAAACAAAGTAGCATTTTGACTTCCATTCAAAATACTAAATTACTACAACTTTACTATTTGCCAAAATGTAACAAAAGGAAACAGGTGGTTCAGGTAATTGGCCAATTAGTAATCTTTTGAAACTGTAACATAAGACCAAAACAATAATTGTTTTGGAAATAAAGATATAAGCGTTTCATGGACATAATGGGTCTTAAATATAAACATGTTCCGGAGAGGTGTAATGAATGAGTCTGCTTTCTAATTTTAAGGTTATTCTTGATTAATAAAAACAATTTGCAGGCGTACCGTCTCGACAGTGCTCTTGTTAAGGGTTAAGGAAAGGAACACTGACAGTGCCATACAGAGAGGTAATGTGTGGGTTATGTTGTTGGTTAAAGGTAAATCAAGCCTCAAAATGCTTTAATTATGAAACAACTTCTTATTTTGGGTACCTTAATTTGATATAGTTTTCAAAAGGTTACTCAGTGGCAAAATAGCTAAGCCATATTTTAGTTCTTTTGCATTTTGGTAATGTGTATGGATTTAGTCACTTAGTATTTTGAAAATCAAAATATCACATTGTTTACCCACACTACCCTTTTAACAATTTCACATTCAGCGTTTTGTTCTTCATGTTTTAAGCATCTGTTGTGTTCTAATCCATCTTTACTTCATTATAAAGTTTTGCAAAAAGAAAGATTTATTCATTATATGGTGTAATGTGCGTGTGCAATAATTTTATATTACAACATTAATTATCCTTACTATTTATTTATTTACAGTACCGCATGTATCGTGTGCGGGGGTCCGCTCTGACAAAGCCAATGAAATTTAGACTGTGTGACACGAGAGGGATTGAAGAAAATCAAGGTATGGATGGTACGGAGCTCAATTACCTTCTGGAGGGAAATGTTCCAAATGGATACCAGGTTTGATAAGTTTAAGTTCAGATAATCTACGATTATAAAACTGCACTCGTTGTGTAATAATTTGGTAATGGTAAATTCATCTTTGATGTCTTAACATATAAATATCGTGTACATAACATTACAATTACATTTTGCTTTCATTTTAGATCTCAAAGAACACATTTTATTTATGCAAAAGATCACGTGTATTTACTTTCAGGATACCTTTTTATACGAGTATACAAGGGTGTTTGTAGTATTTGTTGTTGATTTTTGTTAAATTAAAACATTTATCAAATGAATATGTATTTATTTTAGTTTAACCCATCAACCCCGATTTCTCCCGACACAACTGGATTTGTCGCCTCACCGACATTGAACCATAAAATTCATTGTGTTTGCTTCATAATAGATGGAAGCACAGCGTCAGTAATGTCAGAGAAAATGTTGGAAAAGATAAAGGCTCTTCAGACTAAAGTTCGACAGAAAGGTATGATATAACGGGTTTAATAAGTGAGTATTTTAGGCTTTCTTGTAACCGCACACTTTAAATGAGATACAGATAATAAGTATCTTAATGTCATTTGTTAATCATTATCTGTAAAGTCATAAGTTTTTTTTTAATTTTATGTAATACTTAGTCTAGTAAATGAAAATGCTATTTTCATTTTAATGACAGAAATATACAAAAGGCTTTTTGATGCAATAATTTAAATATTTCCCTAAAACTTTCAAACGTTTATGATTTAAATATCTTTTTCTCGTAATATGTCATTCTCATTATTTCCCGGGCATATAATAATTGAACCGTCCGTCCGTCTGTCCATATCAAGTTAACCTACAACAGCAAGTTGAATTTACCTTTAGTTCTACCTGTACCAATGGCACCATAATTTACATATTTACTAAGCAATACAATGTATATGATTTTGGCAAGTTACATAACTATGTTTTTTTCTAAGTTATCTTTCAAAATGAATATGGTTAACCTAAACCTGCAAGTTGGATATATATTGTTCTGTCTGTTCTAATGGATTCATAAATATCACATTTTCTTATCGATACAAAGTGCATGATATTGCCAAGTTAACTGTGCCTCCATTTTCTTAGTTATTTACTTTTTTGTCCCTTTGAAAATGTAGCTTGATATGATAAACCTATTCAGGCAAGTTGGATTTATCTTAAAATTCTCTTTATTACTTTTAGTGGTCCTCAAACTTTTTGTGGAGTAAGAGGTCGTTGCGGTCAAGGTCAAGGTAACTGGTGTACAAAATGTTGTTTTTTTTCCTCACACAATCTTTATTTTTAAATTGATGTATTTCTGACATGGTAATGGAGTTTTTGTTCTTTCGGGTTTAGTTAGGGGCCATTAGGGTTATGATCATAGCCAAGATCGCCAATGCCAAAAACATATTTTTTCTCTTTTTTTATCGACAGATGTCTTTTATATTTTGACGACACATAAAAGTAATAAGACAAAGTCTTCTACCTTTGAACGGAGTTAGGGGTCATTTGGGTTGTGTCACCAGTGCTAAAAATTGATTTTTACATATTTGGTCATATATTCTTTATTTCTTAACAGACATCTTTCATATTTTGGTATGCTTCCTTTGGATTTAGTAATAGGTCATTGGTGATCAAGGGTGCCTAAGAACGATTCCAACACATATGCGTTTACAGCTTTTATTTATTGACTGACGTTTTTTGAATTCGGAAGGAAGATAAGGTCACAATGTGAATGTCACCGGTGCTAACAATAGATTTTTTACACTTGTTCTTATACAACCTTTATTTTTTCACCAATATCTTGTATTTGGAAGGAACATACTTCTTGTG